TTTTATTTAATAATAAAGCCTAAAAACTTTACCTTCTTTTTATAAAAACTATATTTTAATAATTTTACATATAAATTATGCCTTTTTAACTAATTAAGGACTTTTTAAACATGGTATACATATTTTTTTTTATTTTTAAAAAAATAAGAATGTTATTAAGGTAAATAATATAAAACTTGTTAAAAATCCTGCTTATAGCTATATTTATATAAAATTAAAATATAGCTAGTGTATTTATTAAGTTAAAAAACATAATTATATATTTATAGTAACTATAACAGGTCCGGAACACTATTTTTTACTTATTTTTTTTTTAATTTATATTTTATAATATGTGTTATATAAATCCAGCTTGGTAAAATATCTTATATTTACTAGTTAATTTATTAACTTATTAATATATAGTAATAAATAATAATTCTTATTAGTTATTATATTTAAACCGTGGTAGTTAATATAAAAATATAAAAATTTATTAAATTTTTAAATAAAAAGCACTAGCGCTCCGGTACTACTTTAAAATAGCTTAATTTATTTTTTTTTAAGTATTTTATTAAGATACTTCTTTAATATTTATAACTTATACTAAAAAAAACTATAAATAGGACCTTATAAAGGCTTTTTACCCTTTTTTAATAAAATTTTATGCTTTATTTTATTAGTTAAAAGTTAAGTAGCTTTTTATTTAAAAAAAACTTTACTTTAGTAAATATACTAGGGTAGCAGGACCACCTTTACTTCCCCTTTAATTTTTTTTAATTAATAAAGTATTATAAGTACCGGTTCCTTGCGTATAGTTTTTATAAACTTTTATAGTATTTTAATTTTAATAAAAGGTATATAATTTTACTAAGTTTATTTTATTATAATAAGGTAAAGGTTTAAATTTAATTTAATTATTTAAAAATATCCTAAAACTACTTAATAATTCTTATAAATAAAATTAATAATATAATATACTAAGTTAAATATTTTTATAACTTTTTTTAAATTATAAACCTAAGTACGGGCTTGCAAACGCCTATAGTAAAAAATAAAAATATTATTAATATACTAAACTAGTTATATTATATAGTTAGTATTTATTTTAATACCTTGCTTTTATAAATATTAAACTAAAATAAAATTAATATTAGCCTTAGTATTAAGTAGTGCCTTAAATTATTAATTTACCCTATTTTTTTATATCCTAAGATTTGCAAGAATAGGAAAAGTAGTTTTTTTTTTTAAATTATATAACTTTAATAACTTAGGGCCAGGAAATTACTATTTATTTTTTACTARTTTTTTTTWAGCTTTTTTTTATTTAAACAAGCCTTTAACAAGTGGCCTAATTTACTATAATTAAAATAAAGGCCCTTTTTTTTATAACATTTTTTTTTTTTTTAAAAAGTAAGTTACTRCTTTTTTTTTTATTTTTTTTTTTCCCCTTTTTTAAAAAAGCTGCTTTACTACTGTTCTAGTTTTATCCTAAGTTATTTTTATTTTTTTTATTTTTAAAGTTAAAACTAACTTTAAACTTTTTTTTTTAGCCTTTAAGGCCTTGTTACGCTTATTAATAAATTTTATATAAATTATTACTATATTTACTTTAAACATAGTTTTTAGGGGTTTTTTTAACTTTTCCAAGTATAAGTAAATATTTTTATTATAAGTTTTAGTAAGTACTTACGCCTTAAACTTTAAATTATTAAAGTATAGGCCTAACTTTATAAAGTAAAGTTCTTAAAAAGTAGTATTTTAAATGTCTTATTATTTAATTAAAAAATACTAGGTAATATAATAGCCTTGGTCTATAACTAGGTTAACTTATATATATATAAATTTTTTAAAATTTGCCTAGGTTTGCTTATTATCCTAAAGTTTAACTTAACCTTTTTAATAATTATAGGTGTTTTTTAAAGTGTTTTAAATAGTAAATATAATCTTTTTATTATTTATTTAAAACCTTTTAAAAGTATTATAAAAGTAATCCTTTAAATTTTTAAACTAAATTTTAAGCTTTATTATATTTTTTTTTTAACTTTTTAACCTTTTTAAACTTAATCTTAGGCTCCTAAAAAGCCTTTTTTTTTTTAATAAAGCTTATAATTTTTAATAATTTTTTAATACCTTTTTTATATATATTTAAAACTTTTAAACCCCTTAAAGCTAGCTTTACTAGCACTAGGTTTTAAAAATAAAATAGTTTTAAAATAATAACTTAAGTTATTTAAGCTTAACTTTAAACTAAAATTAAAAAAATTACTAAAATTACTTTTTTTTAAAGCTTATTAAAAATATTAATAAAAAAATTAGCGCGGGAATTAATAAAAAAATTAATATAAAAACTAATAATTTAATACTATTTTAGCTTTAGGTTATAGGGGTAACTTCCCCTTATTTTTTTTAAAAAAATATCCTAATTTTAACATGTAATATTAATTATATTAAAATTAAAAAATAAATAAGCTAGGAGTTATAGTCCTAGGCCACTCCCCCTTTAAAATAGCTTTAATTATAATAAATTTTAAATTAATAGGCTTTAATAATAATATAAAATAATAAGGTAAAAAGTATATTTTACCCTATATTTTACTAAGCTAGTAAACTAAATTATTTAAGTTAGGTTTTTTTTTTAACTATCTTTAATAGTAATAAAATTCTTAAGTATAAATAAAAAAGGGAACACTTTTTTAATTATTTAAATTTAGGTTTTAAAAACCTTAATTAAAATACCTATAAATTACCTTTGCTTATTTTTTAAAAATTTAATCTAGGATACTATTATTAAAAAAATTTAAAAAGTAATAAGTAAAAGTAACTTTAACTATAAAATTAATAAGTTTTAAAAATCTTTATTAATAATAAAAATATTAATAAAAAAATTTAATTAATAAAAATAAAGTATTTTAAACCCTGTTAAATAATATTAAAAAAATTACTTAAAAATTTAAAAAAAAGGCTAGCCTTAAGGCTACTTTTATAAACTTTTAAGCTATACTTAAGCTATTTTTAATTAAAAAATAAATATAGGTTTAAATACTTTACACACAGGTTTTTACTTTAGCTTATACTTAGGGCCTACCCTAGTCTTACCTAATTAATAACCAAGACCCTAAATATTAATAACCTAGTTAAGTTATATAGCCTAATATAATAGTAAAATATACCAAGCCTTAGCGGCCTAAGGCCAAAGCTTAGGTTACCTAAGGCGCTAACTTTAGACCAATAGTGGATTGGCTCTGGTAACGTTAAACGGAAAAACATTGGCCCTGACAAGGTTAAAATTAAGCCTAAAGTTATAAATTATACTAGTAAATAAAAATAAAGTTTTTAAAGTAAAGTAGCTAGTTTTATATAAAAATATTTAAGGTATTTAGTTAAATAATTATAACTAAGTAATATAATATACTAAGGCTTTATTATTATTTTTTTTTTAATTATTATTAATATAATAGTGTATGTTTGGCCTTTTACTTTTTATTTTTTATTTTAAAAAGGTATTAGCTAACCTTTTATATACTAGTAAGAATTTTTATAAGGCCTTTTTATATAAAAATAGCTAAGTAAGGTTATTTTTAGTATACCATGTTACTAAAAATTAGTAAGTAACCTTTTTTTTTAATTATTTTAAAATACTTATTAATAACTTTATATACTGGTAATGGCTCTTAAAAGTTTTATATAAAATTTTTAAGGCTATTTTAGTATATAATATTACTAAAAACTAGTATATAACCTTTTTTTTTAGCTTTTTATTTTTGCCCTTTAAGCTTTATAAAATATTAAATACCTTATATTTTATATTAGTTAAATACTAGCTAATGGCTTTATATACTAGTAATAACTTTTAAAAGGTTTTATATAAAACCTTTAAAATTATTTAATATATAATAATTTTTAAATTTATTACTTATTTTAGTATTAAGCTAGCTTAGCTAAAAATAAATTTAAGTATTATTTTTAAGTATATTTTTTAATAAACTCCCGCGGGTTAGCCTTTAAAACTTTTTATTAAAAGTTAAAAGTTAGCCTAGTTTTATTATAATTTTATATAAAAATAGTTAATAACCTATTTAGGCAAGTTAGTAATTATTATATATAATAATATAAGGCTTAATTAAATAATATTATACTAGGACTTATATATAAATATTTTTTTAATTACTTTTTTAAAAAAAAAGTAAGTATTTTATATAAGTATTATTAATACCCGGGTGGTTTTTATCCTTTTATAAAATATATTTACCTTTTTAATATATTTAGTAGGTGTTATACTAATTATAAATAATTAAATAATACTTTTACGTGTATTATATAAAATAATTATTAAAAAGTAAAATTATAAATTATTTTTAATTAATCTTAAAATTATTATTAAAAATAAGCTACCCGCGGACCTATATAAAAAAAGTTTATTATAAATAATATAAAAAATTTAATTAACTTAAATTTAAAAAAAAAGGTAAAAAATTTAATTAACTTAAATTTAAAAAAAAAGGTAAAAAATTTAATTAACTTAAATTAAGATTTTTTTTTATTTTTATATAATTAATTAAGGGATACTATATTATAAATATTTAAGTATTTAAATATTTAAGTATTTTTATTTTACTTAAGTATTAGCTTATACCTTTTTATAATATTTAAAATAAGTAGCTATATAATAAAATTAAATAAGTTATAATATATTTAATTTTTTATAAGTAAAACTTAAGCAAAGGCACACTATTAAGTTTAAAATAAAGTTTTTTCCTAAGTGGCTAAACAGGCCTCCGTACCCGCGCTATGTCTTGATCAGCCCCAATACCTTGCATCTGAACCAATGAGGACCTTGATAGCTTGTTGATTCTGCGACTTGGGGGTGCTATTTGCTTGCGGAGCTTGTCATTGGCCATCAACTTCCGCAACCTGGGGAAGCTCAAGTGGCCATACCTAGCGCTTCAGGTTTGTTGTTAAAGTCCTGCTGAAACCCAGGCTGCCTTCGTCGGACTAGCGACACCAGCATCGCGGTCAACATGAGTCTCACGCCTCTTGACACGAGCCTGTCCCGGTTTCTCGAGTTTAGCATTACACTTGTTTTCCCGCAGGTATACGGTGAGGACGAGCTCCATGGTGCTGCACAGTCTTTGCTCGAGCAGTGGCCCATACTTAGCTCGCGTCTGAACCTACTTGTATTTCGTCCATTGCCTTCATGATTTTACTGAAACTGACATCTCTCGCAGAGAACCGACCTACGCGCCAGCAAGCCGGGGCAACAGCCGCACATTTTCAAGGGCAATCATATCGACAAGAAACTTTCGGATGTTGTCGACGTTTCAAGCATAAACTTAGAACACGCCAGCGCGAGCCCTAGCGACACGGTCAAACGGTTAGACAGCCTATTGAACTTCGGCAATGGCCTAAACAAAGCTCTTCGCGGACAAGTCTTCATTGTCCGAGCTGTCTTCTTCCTCGAAGCCACTGTCATCCGCTTTACATTCCAGCATCCCCTCTGCGATGCTTCAGGTCCGTGAGATGCGCTGTCTTTGAGTACTTTCCACTAACAAAAGTGAAGGCGCCCATGAAATTGCAAAAGCATACTGCGATATTCTCAACGGGAATACCGTCGAGAAAATATCATTTACAAGATTTCCACTGACACTGCAAGACAGCAACAGCGAAGGCGCAGAGGAGAAGGAGAATAATGCGCCAGTGATACCAACAGTTGCTGACACAGCTCGCCCGATTTTCCACTGGAGCTGGCGATACATGCTCAGGAAAGGCACGAAGCTGCTACTGCGAGACCTGCGACGCCCATCATGCCAGCGAGTCGATAGAACACTCTACATCCCCCCAGTGCAAATGGAAACGTGGAAGGAAGAAGCCCGGAGGGCGAACATCAGCGTCACGGAGCATGATCTCCTCACGGCGTTTATCTACCAGGTACGCATATCAAGCCCATCCGCAACATACCTAGAAGCTAATACATCCTCTAGTCATGCTACCAACGCTCCCCAACCTGCACGCAAGACTTTAGCCTGATCCTCGGGATCCGGCGGTACCTGGAACACCAAACGCCGCTACAAAACGCATGTTTCGTGCTTCCAGTGGCGATTGACTACCTGTACAACAGCCAAAAGTTTGACCTCCCGCCCCTCCCCGAACTCGCAGCAGAGATACGCCGCACAATTCTCGAGGCGCGACAGCCGCAGACTCTATCCGCGCTGCTTGAGTTCCACTCCCGCTCAACCAAGACACCCATGATCCCGCGGTGGATTGGCCGTGATCAGCCGCAGGTGGCGGTGACATCGTGGACAGATCTGGGATTATATGATCTGGATATCCGGGGATCGAAGCCGGTTTTCGTGCATGGGCAGCTGGATCTCTGGGGCGTGCTGAAGAAGTTTGGGCTTGGGATGGATGATATCGTTATTACGTGGAAGGGGCCAGAACATGAAGGGGGTTACTGGATCCGAGGAAGACTGAATGCAAGCGCTTGGGAAAATATGGAAGAGACACTGGGGCAGAAATAGAAATAAAGAGCTCGTTGCAGAGCACCCATCTCTGCGATGTTAGGTGCATCAAAAATCATCAAGTCTCACGCATTAACCATCTCCTTGAATATGCGGTCAAACAGTAAAGCTCCCCGTCAACCTAACATCGCGACTCGACGCGCCCACAAAGACCTCAAACGTCCCAGCCGGCACAACCCACTTCTGGACCCCAACATCCCAATAACTAATATCCCTCCTTGTAAGCTGGAAAGTGACAGTCCCAGTCTGCCCAGGTTCAAGACTCAGCTTCTCAAAACCCCTCAACTGCTTCGGGGGCGTGGGGGGCGCAGAGTCCGGGAACCCAATATACAGCTGCGCGACTTCGGCGCCGGACACAGCGCCGGTGTTGCTCACATACGCGGTGACGGTCCCAACGGCCGCAAAGAGGTCCGCCGGTCCACCGACGACCGTCTCACCTGTCGTCGGACCAGGTGTCGCAGATATAGCGGGGGCAAGGGCGCTATAGTTAAACGTCGTATAGCTAAGCCCGAAGCCAAACTCATACCGCGGCTCAATGGCATAGTAGTCGAAGTGGCGATAGTCGATGAACAGGCCCTCCGTAAACGGATCGGTCTGGGACTCCGTCCAGTCGGCGCCGTAATCCGCTTCAGATTTGCCAATGGTATACGGTAATTTGCCGGATGGCGCGTACGCGCCGAAGAGGATGTCCGTTAGCGCATGGCCGCTTTCTTGGCCTGGGATTCCGGCCCAGACGATTGCGACGACGTTCGGCTGGGCAAGGATTGTCTCGAGGGTTATGGGTCCGACGCTGTGAACTACCACGATGGTGGGCGTGTTTGTGGCTGCGACGGCTTGCACGAGCGCGTTGCCGTTGTGCCAGGGGTCGAGGTTGTTGCGGTCGCCCGGATGGCCTTCGACGGTAATATACCTGTGCAGTTGGGGTTTAGATTTTGGGTGCGATTAGGGATGTGAGAGGACATACCCCTCTCCAGAGTCGGCGGTGATGAAGACGAGCGCTGTCTCCGCGGCGGCGGCCGCTGCTGCGCCTGCTGCTGGGTCATCGGTTGTGCTGGTGACGATGGTTGTGCCTGTTGTTGCGGCTATTTCTTGGATTGCGTCGAGGGGGGCGATGAGGTACTACACCGTCAGCTAGGCATTTCCAACAAGACAAAGGGAAGAGGGAAGAACGTACAGGATACTCAGCAGTCCCGCTTCCCCAGCCCTGCGCAAGCGTCCCGGTATTGCAACCGCGGTCAGTACACGCGTTCGCGCCAGCGGGGTTAACAATCGCATCAGACCCAATGACGGCCAAACTCCCCGGAGTCCCCAACGGTAAGGAAGCATTGCTATTTTTCAGTAGCACGATGGAGTCGCGCGCAATCGTCCGCGCCAGCTCCGCATGCTCGGGCGTCGTAACATCCACGCTCGCAGCCCCGCTATCCCAACTACTAAACGCCACCTCAGGATGTCCCTGGTCCTGACCAACAAGATACCACGCGGCCAGAATGCGCGTAACCATATCATCAAGGCGCGCTTGTGGCACAGAGCCATTCGCAATAGCGAGGGCCAGATTCTCGCCCCAGAAGATCGAGCCGCGAGGCGTATTGAAGTCGGAGCCTGGCATCGTCATATCGAGCCCCGTGTTCGCGCTCTGGACTGTACTGTGCTGCGCGTTCCAGTCGGAGAGGACATGGCCTTTAAACCCGAGCTCGCCCTTCAGCAGGCCGTTCAGGAGGGCGTCGTGCTCGCAGGCCCAGGTGCCGTTGATCTTGTTGTAGGAGCACATGACGGACGCGACGTTTGCGTGCACGGCATCGTAGAAGGGCCACAGGTAGAGCTCGTGGATTGTGCGGTCGTCCGGGTCGGAGGAGATGGTGTTGCGGTTGACTTCTTGTTCGTTGAGGAGGTAGTGCTACATTACCCATCAGTTCCCCTGCATCAGGAAGATGAGAATGTTAGAGGTTGACGCGTACCTTCGCACAAGCCTGCACACCACTACTCTGCATCCCCTCAATCGCCTCCGCCATCGCCACACCAGCAAGATACGGATCATTCGAGAACCCCTCCCAATTCCGCCCAGCAGACGGAATCTTCCCCAGCGCCCCAGCCACAGGCCCAAGCTGAACATGGACACCGAGGCCCACGGACTCCGCGCCCATCGCAACGCCCCGCGCGCGAATGAGCTCGCGGTCCCACGTCGCGCCGGCATTAATACCAGCGGGAAAGACTGTAACGGGGTTCGCGAAGCGCACGCTCAGGGGTCCATCCTGCAGACAGAGAGAGGGGTAGGGGATGGACGTCGGCTCGTAGGTATTCCCGACGCAGGGGCCCCCTTCCCAGGTGACGCCGGTGACGATGCCGACTTTTTCATCCTGCGAGAGGACGGCGAGGTCCGATGCCGCGCGGGCGTAGGCTTCGTCCCATGTTATGACCTGTCCGGCTGCGAGGGACGCGAGGAGGACCGAGATTGAGATTGGGGCTGCAGAATGGAGTCGTAGAGGACGCATTGTGAAGGCTTGGTCTTCGGTTTCGGTCTTCAGCGACTTAATCCCCGCTGGACTACCGTAGCAAAATGTCCACGGGGAATCTCCGGGTAATAAATAGCCAGCTACACCGGAAGAATGTGCGCTGGCCGGCCTCGATTTTGGAGGCAGGGTACAGCAAATGCCGTGGCGTCGTGGCGCCATGACAGTGTTTACATCGCATTCTCCGCGCCATCTGCACGCGCTGTGCCGGAGCCGAGCGGGCAGGGAGGTGGTTGGGCAGACGCCGCAGGGGGAAGAAAAAACAAACAGGAAAGTGACAGGGTCGAGGGCATGACATGGTCTTTGCCCCGCGATTGAGTTGCCTTTTCTCTGCTTTTAGCCGCCTTGGCTGGCGATCGGCCCATGCGTAGTCTGGGGTTTGCGGGGTATCTACGACCCAAGGCTGTCACTGCGCAGTGCTAAAGCCTAAGGGCAAGTTGGGCAACCTTGGAAGAAAGTGTTGGAGTCGGTATGCTCCTGCCAGCGGGTGGTGCCCCGTGCGCCGTGCCCCCTGCATTGCACGGGAAAAGCAAAATGTCCAGATTTTGGGATTCGGCGAGAGGCCTGTCTGTCCGCCTCTGTCCAACCACACCAGAGGAGTTGGGTACGATTCATCCAAGGGGTGGCTAAGGGAGCTCATCTTCTACGAAAGAAGCTTCACGGGAGATGAAAGAAATCTGGATTTGTTCCTTCGTGGAAATTTCCGGCTCTGCGGTTTGATCTTGGAGTTCCCCGATTATTCTCCGTCAGTCAAGACCTTCTCGATCAGTCTCGCGTGCTGGAGCAAGACCTCGTCCTTCAGCCGCCTGCCGACCAGCTGGATGTGGCAAGGCGCGCCTTCGACGTCGTCGGGTTTGTCTGGACGCATTAGCATCTTCAACGCGAAATTGGAGAACAACTTACACTCGGGGCTATACTTGACATCGCGAACAAACTCGGCGTCGGCGGCTTTATCCGCATTCCCAAATGGAATTACGCAGGCGGGATACTAGGAAATCAGCCTATAACCAGTGAGGAAAGCGACTTCCTTACATCAACCATATTCCAAATAACTGTGTAAATGGTCTTGCCATAGGTATCGTGCAAAGGCGCACAACTCTGGTAGGCTGGAGCAAGAACGACATCAACGCCGCTCTTCAGCCAGGCCTGTCGCGTCTTAGCGGCGACTTTCGCCTTTTCGATGTTCAGGTCGTAGAGCTGGCGTAGAGTCGGCTCCGGATCACCGCCCTTCACATTGTACATCAAGCTGAGGGACGGGATAAAGGGCTCGCCTCCGTCGGTCACATTGCGCAGCGGTGTACGGTCGGGGTCCATGTTGAAGAAGCGGTACGCTAGGTCGCAGGCATCCGAGAGAGACGGGATATCTTCAGCAGGAAGGTGCACCATTCGATGGCCGGCTGCGGCGAGTTTACGGGCCGCGATCTCCAAGGTGCGCTGCATGCAGGGGTGCAAAGGCAGAGCAGGGTCCTCTGGGAGCATTCCGATTGTAAGCGGTGACTCCAGTTGGGGTGGTTCGAGGTACGGAAAGCCGAAGGAGTTGTCATCCAGATCCTCCGGACGTGACGAAACCACCGTTCTGAAGAACAGATCGGCATCGCGCATGGATGTGCAAATCGGCCCGGTTGAAACAGCTATTCCACCCGCCAAACCAATTCGTCCAGGTGGTGTTTGGCCGGCAAATGGCAATCTTCCGACCGACGGTTTGAAGCCGTAAGTACCACAGCACAGCGACGGAATGCGTAAAGAGCCAGCGATATCCGTTCCTGCGCCCATGATGGAGCCGCGCATCGCGATCAGCGCACCCTCGCCGCCGCAACTACCACCGGCTGTCAAGGAGCGACCGTATGGGTTCCGAGTCCGCCCAAACACGTTGCTATGCGAGTCGGCCGTCATCATCGTTTGAGGCATGTGAGTCTTCACGTAGATAACGGCCCCCGCGTCAAGGAGTATATTCACCATTGGGCTGTTAAACGTCAAAGCAGGGTTGTCGAGAAAGGAGACATAACCCAGCGTCGACTGCACACCAGCGACATTATACGAATCCTTCAGACTAATCGGGATCCCGTGAAGCGGACCAACAAGCTTGCCAGTAACAGCAAATAGCCGATCCAGTTCCTTCGCACGCTCGATAGCGCGATCAAAGAAGATCTCCGTCAGACAGCGGGTGAGCTGCTGAGCAATGGCAGCCCTTTTGCAAAACGCAACAGCGATTTCGTATGCGCTGAGCTCGCCGTCCTTCAGGCGCGACAGGAGAGCCGTGGCATCGGAGCCCTCGGTGATATCGATCTCCCGCTCGGTGAGGATCCCGCTCTGTCGGGGGATGTGCAGGATATTGTCAAGCTCATCAGCTTTCTTGAGCAGTTCCAAATCGAGCAGCCATTCCTTGGGGATCTTAGCCGCGAGTTCATCGCGCTTGCGCTGCGCTTTCTTCTCCCACGCCATGGTTAGTTACGCGACAAGAGTAGGTCGGTCGAAGGAATAAGGTAGATGCACTGGAACAGACAGCGTACCAGGGCTTTATGTTATATCACGACTCACCGGTGACTGACGGGGAATTCAATGTAACGCAAGGGTACAGTCAGACCAGTCAGACGGTCACACCCGGTAGTTGATCTCACGCCCATCGAAGCATGTCGGAGGCCGACAGGTGGCAGGGAACAGGGATGCTGGGTCATTGTGCCGACTGGAGTGGGGTTCCGGAGAGAGAACCCTGCTGTCTCGATCAATTTCCATGAAGCATACAGAGGATCGAGTTCCTGGAACGATGCAGCTTGCATAAGGGGGACGGTGGCTTGTGCAGAGAGCGGGGGGTTTGCTGCGTTTGGCCGGTTTGCTCTGTTTGGCACGTTTGTTACATTGACAAAACAAAGGCTTATGTAGGCTTATGTAAGCGCCCTGGGCTCGCAACGCCTTCCCAAAACAGACGGCCGAGGTTCCCTCCAGCTTGGCCTGGCAAGGATGACCTGTGTTGCACTTGCATCACTTTCATCATTCAGCTGGCTTCCATGCCCCAGGTGTCTAGCTCAGCAAGAGCATCCGCGCTCTACTTAGAGGAGTTGTTCATTCGCTTCAATGAGCTCTGTTTCGTGCCCCATTTGCTCTCCTGCGCTTCCTTTCTGAGCCTCAGCTGCGGCAAATAACCCGCCAGCTTTCGCATCTAATTTGTGATCATGGTGGTAAGCTCCTGGTTACATACTGTTCGGCTGGCTCATGGCTCTACATCCATGTAAACCACCACCCGAGACTTTCAACCACTCGCTTATAAGTGAATCAAGGAGGTTCCTGGCCGTCACCTTGTCGACATCTTTGTGTGCCCATATCTTTGAACAATGGTGACGTTTCCTCAGCGACTCGCCATTGCTCGGAGCGCATCACACATTCCCTATTTCCGCGACCCGTGGATCTGTTCCAAGCAGTCTGCCGTGACTGTTCCAACCCGCCATCACTTATCCACCAGCCCACCAGCACTCCCCGATGAATTCTTTCGAAATACGTCGCGACGATGGATGTAAGCTCAGTCTATACTAGCTCTAGTCTCAGTTACTGATGTCAGCGAGATTCAACGAGACCGACCGTTTAAAAGAACGATTCGTCAAGTTTCGACCAACAGAGCTCCAACGGATCGCCGGCGAAGCAGTACAACAAGACTATTGCCCTGATATGTCTAAGTTTGCGGAGGGAGGCTTCAACAGAGTGTTTCTTCTGCGAGCAAAGAATGGTCGCGAGGTGATTGCACGGATTCCGACTCCCATTGCCGGGCCGTCCCATTACACCACCGCCAGTGAGGTGGCGACAATGGACTTTTTGCGAACTGTTCTCAAACTGCCGGTACCCAAGGTCTTGGGGTATTCGGCAACATCAGACAATCCCGTCGGAGCAGAGTATATTTTGATGGAGCGGGTGGAGGGGGAGAGTCTTTCCTCACGGTGGTTATCCCTCACCACGGACGAGGTGAAAGACATCACGACACAAATCGCCAATATGGAGAAGAGGATTTTCAACTTCCACTTTCCTGCGTATGGAAGTCTATATTACAAGAAGGACCTTAACGGGGAAGCCCAGGTATCAACCATGGACGATTTTGTTATCGGCCCTGTGTCTGCCCGGCAGTTTTGGCATGGCGAACGAAGCAAAACAGAGATTGACCGTGGGCCCTGTATGTTTTCCCCTCCTTCCTTCTCTGCTTCTCGTTGTTAGAGACACAACCGACATGAGTTAGGCTGATTACTGCGATAGGGCTTTCATCTGTGGACGCTGTTACCGCCGCAGCCCGCCGAGAGATGGCTGTCATTCAGCATCATGCCAAAGCCCAGCCTCGCCAGACATTTCTTCTACCAACCAACTATGACATTCACCCCTCTGAGCACAGCTCATTACTTTCGCGGTTCCTACAGTTGGCGCCTCATTTGATTCAACCGGGCTCTTCCAGCGCCCCGACACTAAGACACCCTGATTTGAGTCTGGGTAACATTTTATTGGCACCTGGAACCACCAAAATCATCAGTATCATCGATTGGCAGGATGCCGTGATATTCCCGCGCTTCATCCAAGCAGGCTATCCCGCGTTCTGTGAGCACGACTCCTCGCGGCCTCAAAGTCTGAAAATTCCATCTCTCCCCGACCACTTCGACGAAATGGGTCTCGACGAACAGAGACAATCCAAAGCAATCTTTCGTTTGGAAGAGGCCAACCTCTACTACACAGCCGCGACGGGAGTCCACAATGACCAACACATGGATGATTTAAGACTTCCCCATCTTGGAATGCTGCAGTATCTCCTCCGCCAGACAGGGTACCCCTGGGACGCCGACGTAATCAACCTCCGTGCAGCGTTAGTAGGCACCACGACTCCGTCGGTATGGAGCAAAATCACCTCGGCCGTTTGCCCAGTACAGTTCAGCGATGAAGAACGAGAGGCTGCGATCGCGGAATCGCAGGAGTGGAACGAGTCCGAGCAGCTATTGTCCCGGGTTCGAGAGCACCTTAATATCGACCTGGAAGGCGGGACCGAGCCGGACAACTTCGAGAGGGCAGTGCAGGGCAATCGCCAGTTTCGGATGGAGATGGTTAGACAGGCAGAGGCGGGCCAGCAGGAGATCTGTTGGCGTAATTGGCCATATAAAGATAAAGAGGACGATAGCTTGCCTCCTCAGACGTAAATGGTGCACTGATCGTCTGAATATGCGATGTATTATGCCTGCTTCATCTGAAACCAAAACAGAGAATTGACCGGTAAAACAAAACAAGGTAATATTCACAAAATATTGAGTATAGTATATACGTAAATCATAATACATGATATATATTCACATTCCTCATCACCTAAAACCACGGCAACGACAACGTATTGCTGTAATCGATGTTCGCCTCCTGACACTCAACGCGATCGCGGCATGTCCCAAACAACCGATCCCAGAGACGCGTCTGCTTCCCATAGTTCCCACTAGTCTTCCACCCAAACCGATGGTGCAGATCGTGGTCCTCGATGATGAGTTCCGCCTTGAACAACCGCAGCGCCCAGCTCAGCGTATTGGGAGGGATCGCCACAGCGCGGATCCCACTGTGCCCGGCCAACTCCGCCCACACCACATACATATGGCAAACCCACCACTCATAGAACCCCATCGGCATGCCCATGGCCTTCATGGTAAAGTACGTCATCAGCGGGATCCCCGCAATATCAAACAGTTCCTGCTCGAGGTCGGCGTAGAGCGTCAGGAGCGGGTTGGGGTGTTTCGTGAGGTGGTGGGTGCGGTGGAATTTCCACAGGCTGCCGACCTCATGCATCAGGCGGTGGTACCAGTAGAACCAGAAGTCGAGGATGATGCCATAGAGGCCTGCTTCCAGGGGTAGCCAGGACCAGTTTAGGGAAGAGGGGGCTTGGGATGTCCGGTAGGCGAGGAAGACGGTGAAAACGGGGCGGAAGGTCGAAGTTGAGAGGAGCGAGCGGACGACCTTGGCGACGCTGACGTCCGGGACGCCGTCTCGCTCGTGGGTGTCGCCGTCCAGGAAGCCCGTTTGGTGGCCGACGCGGCGGAGCACGTGTAGCTCGTGGATGGCGATGAGCTTGAAGGCGACGCTGTAGAACAGCACCGCGCCGAGCGGGGTGAGGTTCTGGCCTGTGTAGGAGGTGTAGACGTGGTGGATGAGAATCGGCAGGAAAGCGTGCGTGATGACCCAGCGATGCTGCTGCCATTCCGGGAGGTAGGGCACCTTCTCCGTCTTCTGGTGAACGGGGACATCCTTATCGAGTTCGATGGAATGGATGTTCAGGATCTCAAGAAGCCAGTGATGGAGGTTCCACTGGCTCTTGTCCGTCATCCGCCAGGTCGACTTCATCGAGTCCTTGGGGTTGCGCTGGGCAGGGACGCTCATGGTGGCGGAGTTCGTGCGAATCAACTTGTCAAGGTAGATCCGCGTTTGGCAGCGGGCACCCGGCGACTCTTATACCTGACTTGAGCCCCAAGTCGGCAAAATTGGACGCATGTGATGTTCGATTGTTTCGGGGTCGCTGGCCCCGCGGGCTCTGCAGATCCTCCAAACACGGTCCTCGGAGCCACAAAAACGGCTAGGGCGCATTCAGGGGAACCGCGACGCGGTCTTCCCACTGGCGGAGGCTCGCAGAGGTCGCCCGTTTCGTATAAGCGCTCGCCACAGCATCAACGTCGCTCTTGGTTCCAGAGTGTTCTTATCCCAACGTCACCAATCTTCAATCCACAAGCGCTTGTAGGCGCCATCGCTCAGATCCCGAGGTCTTCCTCTCGTTGTCTGCTGCGCCGGTGGTCTGATTCCGGGGTTTGTTTGATTGACGTTATCGGATCGGCGCCGTCAACAATGGTTCATCGACGGCCGTCTTCGGAGGTGTTGTAGGCAGCTACCGTCGGCTGGTCTGTGATCCTCGGAGCCACATGAGGGAACGATGACCTCGGCGAGTCCTGTGAAGTTATCTCGTCAGTCCGAGCCAGCCCACGAAGGAAGTGGAAGCGATGAAGCTGTTGCCTGAAGAGACATTTGAGCAACCTTGACCGACGCTAGGTCGTTGATTACCCCTCTTCACCTGGCGAAGAATCGAGATCTCCCGAAGCGGCGATCCGGTGTCACTTTGGAAGCGAAAACTCACGAGCTACAGCATGCTTCAGTGAAGCAGAATGTAGGGCCAACTAGCTGCGATTTGGCATAAGCTCCTAAGAATTGCGATCGAGCGAGAATCTTCGAGGAGTTTATGATGCAAAGCGTATGAGGTTTGTTGACTCTGCTCTGTTGGCAAGGTGACACAGCGGATGAGTAAGCACTTGCGCATCTGGTCATCGAGTACTCGTACACTGCACCTCATCTCATACGGCCGTCAATTCCGAGGTTAGAATTCTCAATACCTATAGCAGCTGCTGATTCTGAGTTGGTCCTGATAGGGCTTGGAAAGCTGACAATGTAGTTGCATTCTGGAACTTCTCCGATGCAGGAAGCAGAAATATATATCCCGGATTTCGGTCAATGAGCACCCTCAAGTCAGTCCCAACTACCGGGCATCCCTCAGCTTTGCCGACTCGCTTAGAATGGCGCTAACCTCTTCCAAGATACGATCCGAACAAGGAACCCGAACCACTCTCAGATGGCATACATTCCAAGGATTCGAGTGTACCATGGTGGAGAGGGCTTGGAAAGATGAAGACACGCGAACAAGTCATAAGCGGAATAAACAAAGTTTTGCCCTGTATAGTAGTGTTGAGTCTCATTGGCCGTGGGTAAAAAATAATTATTTATAAATAGCATTATAAAAAACCTGGTTTGCTGCCATGCCCCGCAAACCCTGGAATCAAACCCTCCGGTACCTGGATATACCATAGTCTTCCCTGCGGCGGGTAGACAGTAGATAGCAGTACTCGGAGATCGTGAGTTACCCCTGCCGGATCCCGAGGGGCGTGGGGGAGTTGATTTAGTCACTTCAAGATCTTGGTGACACGGTGATTCTAAATACCTTCATGCTCTGATAAGGATACATGCTCTTCCAACTGCGCACCCTGCAGGTGCTTTACCGGATGTGAGTATAAAAGGAATAAACGTCAGGGCGATGTTGGGCAGGCGAGTAGCAGGAAGCAGTACTAAACCTGACTGGACAACTAGGCCACAACTAGGTCCCAGGGGATGCTCCGGGTATTATGGCAATACCATGGAGGTCGTTGATTATCCTTAATCAGGGCTCTAGGTTTCCGGGGCCGTCACTTAGTATATGTATCTCTTACTCGCACACTGCCAACAAAGGTTCCTATGTGGGTGATGTGGATTTGGAACTGCCAAATCTGCATGACTCTGTCATGAACTTTCTTAGATGTTGAAATAGAACTCGATTCACTAGAAGGTCTCGCTATAGCGGTCGTACCTGTCATTTAATTATTGCATTTTAGGGAAAGGTACAACTATAGGTTCTAAAGTTTGATTGCTTTATGGTGTGCTTTACCGGAGACTTAAATACAAGGCATATCTTCACAAAGGGCACGACATATACGCAACACATTTACAATTGTAGTTCTTGTGCAATAGATAGTAAGTTATATTGCATTGTTTTAAAAAGTAGAGCTGGCTTCTTTGGCAATATCCTGGATGTGGTTTTCCATTTCAGCGTCGGGAAATGGCGATTTGAGCACGGTGCCATCATCGACGAGTTCCACAAGCCCCGTCAGCCCACCGGAGATGAATTGTCTTTCCGCATCTCTGCTAATGGTTTCGACCTTGTCATCTTCAGGTCCACTTGTTGCGGAGTTGTGTTGAGGTCCCTATCAAAAGCGAGCTAGGAAGTTCTTGCCATGGGAAGAACGCTGGATTTATCACTCCGTGGGCACCTGTACTGCTTCAATATCGTGACGAGCCGGGCCGGCCATTGGATCAAGTGTGGCAGAGAATGAAGCATAGTGAACAGAGCTCCGCATGCCTTGCGTCGGGGGCATAAAATACATCGGCTATGGGCAATATCTCGTGATGTGCTGCATTGGCGAAGACCGCGTTGTTTTCTCACCAAGGCAGTCCTTACTCCAACACATACTACTACTAAATATGGTTCTCTGGTCCTACAAAACACAGTCTGTTGTATTCCTACCTAGCAGTCTTGATTCAAACGCTCTGTTCAATTTGAGAAAGGAAAGGAAAACCCAAAAAACCAAAAGTGTCAATCCAACGCCATGATATCCTGCCACAACCCTTCAAGCCTTCCGTCACTCGTCGATCCTATCTTGAACCCTTTTTACTTCTTCCAAGGGAGGAGACTCCACACTGAATCAAACCTCTCCGCTTTCATAACCAAAACACCTTGGCTGCAATTTCTTCTTGCCGCTGTCAAACAATGGGGTTTTGCTTGTTGAACAGGTTATCCGGGTCGTACTTGGCTTTGACCTGCAGCAACCGGTCTGCATTCTCACCAAACATCTCCGACGGCGACAATTTGTTTTCTGGCGAGAGGTTAGCCATTCAAGTAGCAGTCGACGGCCGTGACTACCTACCATGGGTGTAATCAATAAAGTTCGACGTTGTGAGCGTCTGCTTGTGGCCCTGCGACAGGAGTTCATCCTCCGCCATCTTCCGAACCAAGTGTCCGAAGTTGATGAATTCTTCATCTTTGCTGGCATCGGACCACTGCAGCATCGTAGTCGCATGCAGCAGTCGCACCCGTGTAGCGAAAGCGGCCGCTGAAACAGGAACCTTGCAGATCTGGGTAGGGTCAAAGTAGTCTATCTCCACGGAGCTGTGAACAAGATCAGGTTCTTCGGTGAGCTTCGCGGCGACGGCGTCAAGGACTTCCTTCACGAACGTCGGGCGAGGTGGCAGCGCTGTTTGGAACCCTATCTCCATTTTTCGACCCCCAGGCGGCACCAGAGGGTCGAGGATGGTGCATGTTTCGGAGAAGGGTCTCATTGCCATGTCATCCTTCATGGGCTTGATCTTTAGCAGTGGGGCAAAGTGCTGGTGGGCCTCTTCTTCACTGCCATCGAAAAGCAACACCGTGCTCACAACCGGGGTCTTCAGGTCCTCGGGGTTGAAATGAAGAAGGCACTGCGCGGCCGCTTTGGCCCGGGGATGGAAAAGTGCCGCATTCAGCCCCTCGACGACATTCAAGACCTCGTCGGCGGCATAAGTCCTCATCCCATACCAGATGAGGCCGGGCTGTGGGTATGCCTGGAACGCAATCTCATACACAGCGCCTACATTCATCGCCGCACCACGAATCGCCCAAAACAGATCTGGATTCTGCTCCGGGGACGCGGTTAGCATCTCGCCGGCGCCAGTGACGACTTTCGCCGCGAGAATCGTGTCGAGCACAACCCCGTGCTGTGGAGTGTAATAGCCATATCCACCCTGCAGACTCAGCCCGCCAACGCCGACCTGGCCCACGGTGCCCAGGTTGACAGCGAGCGGGTACTTGCCGACTTCCTGGGCCACATGGCGCCATGTTGCACCGCCCTGGACGGTAACGATTTGGGCATCGGGTTCAACGATCACTCTTGTCATCTCCCTGCCCAGGTCAAGTAGGATTCCTCCCTCTGTCGAGGAAGTCGCGCTCGTTGAGTGGGCGCCGCCCCGAACCGCGATGTCTATAGAATGCTGCCGGGCATAGTTCACGGTGCTTGCTATGTCCTCGCCGTTCCTGGGACAGACAACAACAGCCTATATTGACAAGTTAGTGGGGGGAAAAGCAATCTAGAGTTGGGGCGTACTGCTCGTCGATAGATCAGATCAGACCATCCCCGTAGGCTTTCCTCATACCCGTCGTCGCCGGGGCCGAGCACGGCACCAGAGATTCCCAGCTGCGATTTCAACTGCTGAGCAGAGATCATTTTTGCGCTGCGGATTCAATCCCCTGTTCTGGAGTCGGTAATGGTCTTCTATACCAAGAGGCAGGCTTATGACAATGATCCGAGAATTGGTGACGTTATAAGGTAGTCTGGTGAACTTTACTTGACCAGCACGAGACTGCCCTCGTGCCCAGATCATGCGACAGGAGAATATCCAAAGCCCCATTAGATCTTCTCAATCTTGTACGACAATGACGACTAGGTTTTATTCATTGGTTGCCAAGTGTCATTAACTTTCAGGACTCACTAACCAACGTTGCCCGGAAATCTGTGGCCGCCAACTCTCATTGTCTAGAGCCAGGGGAGGTTTCCACTATATCGCATGCTTTATCCTACCCGCATGCTTTATCCTACCTAGGCATGTGTTACACCGCAGCATGGCGATGTCCGATCCATACTAGACACAGCAAATGAGTCCGTCAAGGTTGGATACGAAATGTTGCACAGAGCAACAATCGGACGATCATCAATATAACATCACAGACAAGATACAACAATGGATACAGAACATCCAAGCAGCTCAACTATACCCCCACAAGGGACAACGCATCGGGGGCCAAAGAACGCATGGTAAAGATACCCAGGTAGGGCTACACGAACCCCCTCAGCAAGCCCACCACCACCTCACTGACCCCCATAATGCTTCGCAAAGTACTCCTGCATACTGATAAGATGTTGTGGTTCCAAGCCTTTGTCCAACCGAGCCTTGTCCTTCAGCCGCTGAGAGGTCTCCACGTTATCCGGCTCGCCAAAGAACCACCCATTCGCATTCTGCATATACCGATAAACATCCTGCAGCTCGACCAGAACGGAATCACCGTGCGTCGGGAAATCCTCGTATGACTCCATCGGTATATATCGAGCGTTTTTTCCAGTCACTATAATGCCAGTCAGTGAAAACGGAATACGCCAGTGCAGAAGAATCCGAGATAACCAGGAAGGATGGGTGGAATCATAGGCCGTCTTGAGGTCCACTATACATACCCTGACTAAAAGCCCCTACCATATCCTCGTACGAAAACGCATCGCTCATAAGCGGAACCGTACGCCCATGCCACCTGCTCGGATCAAGAAACAGCGCATGCACCATCTCCCCAAAGTCATCTGCCACCGAGACAGTCTGCACCGTTCCCTCGCCCCCAACCCGCGGACTGGTAAAGGTGAGGTACCCATCCTCATCAGCCTGCATGGGAAATCCACCAAATGCAGCCGCGTACTCGGCGTCGATGAAGTTCTCAAAGTACCAAGCTGGCCAGGCGCCGATGACGGCGTCGAAGGTGGGGAATTGGCGGGCGAATACTTCCACGCGGTGTTTCGCTATGCGTTGTAGAAGAACGTAATTAGATCCAGTGGACTAGAGGACAGACGAAACCCGCGGGCCGCGGAGGGAGATAGATACTCACCGTCCATTCCAGGGACAGGGGCTTTCCCGTTTGTGATCTCTGCCGGCGAGCCACAGGTACTGTAGATGAAGACCTTGATGCCGGCCTCGGCGGCAATAGTGACCAGTCTGCGCCCGAGGTCTTCATCGCTTGGCCCGTTGGGTTCCATCACAGCCTGCGGAAATAAGTGAGCCAGAGTAACGAGTTGGAAGGTACAGCATTCCACCATCGGAACGAAGGATTAGAGTAGCTTACGGCATCATGGTGGTGCGTATTCAGCCAGAACCCCCATGCACCCTCGAGCGCAGCCCTCATCTGATCGTCATTGTGCCCGTCTGCCCTTACGACGTTGGCCCCAAGACGAGCCAGGCTTTGCGCCTTCTCGGATTCCGGATTGCGGGTCAGTGCCCTGATGGCAAAGTTCTCCTTGCTTTCCAGCAGGGAAAGCGTGATGGCTGTTCCTTGGGTGCCTTTACTTGGTTGGTTAGAACTGGGCTGAATAGAGTACAACGAACGCATGTGTTTAATCGAATGATAGTATGATAGCATGGCTTACCGGTAGCACCGTATACAACAATGACCTTCTGTGCGGGTGCAGGGGCGGATGCCATTTTCGTTGAAGAGTGTTGATCTCGGGTTCTGCTGGGCTTAAAGTTTTGGTAAAGCCTGGCTAGATGGTCCAAAACCTTGGTTATTGGACGACTTATATGTTCCTCGGGAGGGGAGTCTGCGAGCAATCTTGAGTAAGCCTTGTGACGTACGGCTGGGTTGGGGTAGTATGCCTTCGAATGGTAACAAGCCGTGGCCCCGCAGATATTCAATAGTGCTCCGCGGAGCTACCACGTTGACTTGGATTGTTCAGTGTATGACAAGGCTTCTCCATCTTCCCGTTGTGTAACAAGGCCGCGGAAAATAGGCAAGACTATCGCTCGAGCTTCCTTGCTCATCAGTGACGTGGCTAAGTGGCTGACATCCAAGCCTGCAATCTAGGTTACTCAGAGAGGAGACAAGCTTTGCGCTTAGAATGTAGCCAGGGTTGACTACATAAGCGTGGTATTGTCAGGTGGCATCAGCATTAAGCGAAGTCGTACGTACGGTGCAAGGTGAAATCATTGATAACGCGCAGGTAATCCATCATCCGCGGATCATATACGCGGGTGGCGCGAGAGTTTGTTTAAAATTTCCTACATTGGTTTGGTATTCCGGGGTTCTATGTGCATGGTTACTATCGCACCCCTGTGAAGGATTAAGAGGCGCGAAGTTATAGGGATATCTACGTCTGTCCCGTGGATACGGGGCGTCATAGTGGATCCCATACAATGAGAGGAGAGTCTAGAGAAAGACACTGGCCTAACAGCAAAGATGCTCGGAATTGGAGTCAGCCTTTCTATGGAGTGCAAGAAATGGATTGATCCATAACGTCATTGTATATGTCAATCGGCCCAGAGCAGTAAATAAATCGCGTCCGCGTCCTGCGAAATTAGCTTGAGACCTCTCTTTCATGGCCATTGACTCTCCAAACCTCCCATTGCAACTGCCGTAACCCGCCAGCCTATTATTCATAAGATGTCGCCGATGAATGGGGTACCAGGAGAAAGCCGCGGAGCTGACCTGGCGAGCGCTTTCGCGGGCCGGGTGTCTATCAACACTGCCCTCACTGCAATTGAAAGCGATGGACACGCGATATCATATGCCGAATTGCTCGCAAAATCATTATACCTTGCCGATAAAGTCCGTCAGATGGACCCGTTGGCGAGTACCCCTGTTGGAATTCTCATTCCAAGAGGAATCAACCATATTCTCGCCCAGTTGGCCGTTGTATACGCTGGGAAGGCATGCGTGCCACTTGAAATGAAAATGGACGACGATGGGCTAATTCACATCCTTGAGAACCTCCATAGCACCCTTGTCCTCACGGACGAAGCGAATGCACATCGGCTGGGGGGCTTCAGGTACATCCTTGTCGAGCACAGAGTCATTGACACGGATGACATGAACGTGCCGACTCCCTCCTCGACATCGATAACCGGCCCTAGAAGCTGCTCCCACATCTTCCATACCTCCGGCACCTCCGGCAAGCCCAAGGCCGTTGAGCTGTTTGCCTCCGGGCTTCTGAATCTCTGTCTCGACCCCGACGCCAATTGGATCAAGCAAGGTCAACGGGTGGGCCACGCAGCAAGCGTCGTCTTCGATATCTCGCTCATCGAAATCTGGGGAAGCCTACTCAACGGCGCGACGATCGTTGTTCTCCCGACCGAAATCGTCCTCGACCCCCTGGCGCTGTCCACTTTCATCAAAGACCAGCGCCTTGATGTTTTACAACTTACAACCTCGTTGCTCAACGTGACTGCCTATGCGTGCCCTGGGGCATTTTCAACGCTCGATACGTTGATTACCGGCGGCGAAGCTATCAATGCCCAGAGTATTCGGGCGATCTTCCAGGCTGGTCCGCCACGGCGCATTATCAATGGGTATGGACCTACCGAGTGCTGTGTTTATTGCCTTTGGCACGCTGTCTCACGCAATGAGGCGCAGCGTGGTTGTATCCCGGTCGGTAAACCGTTCAGGGATGTTGAGGTGTACCTGGTCGATGAGACTTTCAGGCCAGTGGGAGTCGGTGAGGTTGGGGAACTGCTTGTTGCGGGTCCGGGGGTGGCGGGTGGGTATATTGGGGACGAGCGAAAGACAGCAGAAAGGTTCATCTCCCTCCCGCAGGCTGTGAAGCCTTGCAGTCAACATCCAAGAATTGCCTACCGCACCGGTGATCTGATGCGCCGGGATGAGCGCGGTGTCTACTACTACATTGGACGGAAGGACAATCAGGTCAAGATCAGTGGGCAGAGAGTGGAGTTAGAGGCGATCGAGTCTGATCTTCAAGAGACCGATCTTGTTCACGCGGCGACCGTTGTCAAGATCACGCCAGAGCACCTCGGAAGCGCACCCTTCTTGGTGGCATTCTGCGTCGCTACGTCAGCAGATGTTACGCCTGCAGCTATCGCCAGAGACTACATTGCACGGTTTCCTCGTCTTCTGGTTCCCCGGTTCAAGCTCATTGAACATTTTCCACTACAAGCCAGCGGCAAAGTCGATCGTGGCCAACTGGAGCGCCAATATATGCGAGAGATAGAGTCTACCCATCCCAGCGTCAAGGCTGGCGCGTGCCAGTGCAGCAACCTCAAGGACGATCTGCGCTTTCTATGGCTTGACGTTCTAGGCCTACCTCATCACGGGATCCAACCGGCGGACGACTTCATTGCGATGGGTGGCACTTCTTTAATGGTCGCAACGCTGATTGCCAGAATCCATCATGCCTTTGGTGTTTCACTGCCCGCCTCGGTGCTCTACGGAAATATGACTTTGGACCGACTCGCCGAGTTCTTGACGCATATGCGGCCAGACGGCCAAGCATCTGTTTCTGCACACAAAACGGATGAGAAGTTGTGGCTGCAGGACTCGGAGTTGGGACGGGAGGTGCACTCTTTGTCGGATGTCCCGATAGTCGCGGATTGGGAGGCCGCATCCGAAGGCAGAGTCTTCCTCACGGGCGCAACGGGCTTCGTCGGAGCATTCTTCCTCGCACAGATTCTTCAGATCCCTACCGTCACACACGTTTGCTGCCTTGTTCGAGCGGACGATGAAGCCCACGGGTGGTCACGCCTTCATCAAACCCTGCAGAAATACCAGCTGCACCCACCCAATCTAGACAAGCTAACCGTGCTCCCAGGCTCATTCGGTAAACCTGACCTCGGCCTGAGCTTTGAGAAATACGAATCCTACGCGGAATGGGCCAGCGTGGTCTTCCATCTAGGTGCCCAAGTCAACTACCTCGCAACCTACTCAGCGCATCGACAAGACAACGTCATAGGGACACTGAACATGCTCAAATTCGCAGCCCACAAAAGGATCAAGCAAACACACTACACTTCTACCATCGCAGCCTACGGCCCGACAGGCTTCGTATTAGGGACGAAGTTCCTCCCCGAAGACGAGCGCCCAGCACCACATATGCTAGCCCTGCATTACGACACGGGCTACGCACAGAGCCAACTCGTCGCGGAGAGTATCGTCTGGAACGCGATTGACAACGGCCTCCCGATCGCAATCTACAGACCGGGGTTTGTAATTGGGCACAGCGAGACGGGGCTCTGTAACCCGGACGACTTTATCAGCCGGTTGTTTGCGAGTTGCATGGATATGGGGACTTATCCGCTCCTCCCGCGCCAACGCAAGGAGTTTGTCTCCGTTGATTTTGTTGCCGCGGCGTTATTGCATATCTCCCGCTCGCCTGAGAATATCGGGCACGCCTTTAACCTTGTCCACCCGGATAAGGACAGCGCGATTGATATCTCGACCTCGTTTGAGCTGTTGAACCGCCTCGCTTCGCATCGCCGGATGAGACCTACTACCTATACTGAATGGGTGCAGTCTCTCTCTCTGCGTCCTGAAGACCCTCTGTATCCTCTTGTGCCGATGCTGCGGGAGAAGGTCTTGGGTGAGAGGACGAGGTGGGAGGTGTATGAGGGTATGGCCGAGTATGGCCGGAGTAACTTGCATCGTGCTCTTCGGGACGCCCCAGAGGTTCTCAATTGTATTCCTATGGTCCAGCTTTTTGAGCGGTGCTTGAAGAGTTGGCTGGGTCAGGGTGCACAAGAGGGGAATGGCAAGTAGCATGGACTATCTATTTTCTTTTGGCTTCGGGGCAATATTGTCCGTGTGTGCTCTGAGACATGTGTATAACTTCACCTCGTTATAAGTATATAGCGTCAGTATCACGCGATGCTTATTTCCACCGCTTACCTCCTCACAGTGCAGAAGTCTCTCTCTAGGTGATACTCAACATCGGGCTTCCATAGTGGCGTGAAGTTGCCTGGAAAGCGTTTTGTACGTGGATGGTGAAAATGTGACAGTGCCTGCTCCCATGATCCGGACTGTCGTACCTACTTAAAGATCTTCTGGACATCCTCTCAGGGTATAGCTTAAGCGTAAACGCGGCCGTTGGTTATTCAAGAGACAATATTCCTGTGTAGAGCACCTGCATCCTTCCTCCGACTAAATCATCGAAACAGACTGGTTGAGAAGTGGTGTTCTTCCGAATACATTCAATCCAGCTCCCCGAGCAATGATGTGTAGATGATAACCCAAACATGCTAGGTTAGATAGACCGCATACCTTATCCTCCTCCTCCTCCCATATGCCTCTAGCAAGAGATTCAAGCTTCGCATTTACAGGAGGATGTTATCTATGATATAAAAAAAAGCGTGCCGCGGCTCTTAAGACATGTTTGGCGCTTTAGCACCCGCTAACATGCGCCTAGCTACAGTGCTACCGGCTTTTCTCGAAGACCATTTACGACACACAGCTGGATAACCCCTTCTTACGACTAGATATGGACTGCAATGATGATGAGGAAAATGGTGGCATTTTTTAAGAAACTAACTGCCGTATAGTAGATCTATTTAATCTACTAAGGGAAAAAAATCAAAAAGGAACAACTAAGCAAAAATTTTCGAATCTAAAAACCAAAGAAGAAAATCATGAATCCCAGAAAAAAAAAAAAGCAAAGAATTTCACTAATGTTCAAAATTTTCAATCCCTGAACGAAAACAATTGATAGTGCTACCTGCTCAAGCTCGCTGTTTAGCCCCATTGGGCGCAGGGCGTTGTAGATTAAGCGGTCGTCCTCTCAGGTAGACCGTAGGACGAAGTCGCTGATGTCTTCAAAATATTTCTTGACAGTTGTTACAATCTTGCCAAACGCACGTGCTGGGAGCTTCACTATTCTGACAAAGCTGTTGAAAACTTGGAGATTATATTCGAGCCAAAATATCAGCCATTGTATCTCCTATGTCAATAGGGTAGCGGCGCACTAACGAAGCAAGGAAGGTATGTTGCGGAGTTGTCTCCGTATTTCTTGGAACGTCTCTACCATCGGCTCGGCCCACATGAAAGGCTGGTGCGAATATTGGGGCATTCCCGGGACGGTCTTGTTCTTGAGCACATGAAGAACGGCGATCTCAAAACATATCTTCAAGCGCAACACTCGATCCCCATGGACCTGAAGCTGATGAGGGGACTCGGCTCTATCTCCTCGACATTGGAGAGACCCGCCTACCGTGGCTACAGATTGATTTGCTTCGGCTCAACTCTATACGAGGTTTTCCAAGGAGCTAGTCCCTACGAGGATCTCCCCAGCGATCAAGTGGAAGCACTGTACAAGAGGAAGGAGTTTCGTGATACCTCTAATATCCCGTGCGCACAGATTATCGAGAAAAGTTGGCTGTCCCAAGTTAGCTCAGCCGAGCATGTCCACGATTTCATCGGGAATATCATCCGTAGCACGCTTAACGTCGACTGTATCCTTTATCTCGGTGGTTCGGACGCAGCTCTGTGAATTCGATTGACCAAGTGGGGTGCCTTTACCGTGCTTACTCATCTGCCGCCCAAACCCACCTGCCGCCCAAAAATTGATCTCCACCACCAAGAAAAAATAAAGCTTTTTAACACATATAAAAGGTATAAAAACCCGAAATTTTAGTGGTGTATTTTACACTAGCTAATTACTTTATATATAAATTTAAAACTTTTAAAAACGCTGCGGTAGCCGGATCTCGCGGCCTTAATAATTTACTAAGATTAGGGTGTTGGGAATAACTTTAGGGCTAGGGGGGAAAAGTTTTTTTTTAGGGAATGCTTTTAAAGTTACTAGAGGCTTGCTTTTTCCTAGCTTGGCTAATTTAAAGCTATTTTAAAGCTAGTTTTCCGCCTCTTTGGCTATATAGGCCTTTTTTTTTAGTGGTCTTTTTTAGCCTTTTTTCTTTTTGCTTTAAGCTATTGTTTTTTTACATTTACAGCTCTTATTTTTACGTTTTTTTTAGTTTACTATTTCTTCTTCTTTTTGGCTTGCTATTAGCGTAGCTTATCTTTATTTTTTCTGGCCTTTTCCTATTATATAGCCTTATCTTTTTGCTTTTAAAGATCGCGGGCCTGTTAAATTTTTTTAAAAAAGTAAAAAATTGTATTGCCATTTTCCGGTGCCTGGAGTTAAAATATAAGTAGCTTTTTTTATTACCTTTTTCTTTTTTTATTAATTAAGGCCTTTTTAAGGCTTTAACTGCGTGCCTTTACAAGTATAAGCTTTGTATAAAAATAATAGACTATAATACTAAGTTTCTTAACCTTTTAAGGCTTAGGGTCTTTAAAAATCTCCCTAATTAATTTATTAATCTTTTTTTAGTTATCTGCTTGCAGTGGGCCCTCCGGATTGTTAATAAATATAAAAGTTTTATTTATATTTTTTTTAAAGCGCCTTAGTATAATCTTAGGATTAAAAGGGAATAAACTAGTTGCTTTTTATAAACTTTTTATATTTTTAGGAGATAAAGCCTTCTCCCATGCCGCCTAAAACAATCTAAAAAAGTTTTGCTTTGTAATAATGCTAAGGCCTTAGCAAGAATACATAAATACGTCTAGTTTATTAGTGTATGCCTTAAAAAAAAAAAAAAAAATTCTAATATTTAAAGGCTACAAAGTATAAGTTAAATAAGGCGGATAGGTAGCCATAAGTATTTTATTAACTTTGCAGTACTTTAAAAAGCGCATTATAACATGGGATTTATAGCTATTAAAAAAAAAAGCCTTTAACGCCTCCTTGCTTTATCCCTTATTAATTTATTAAATACTTGTTTAACCCAGGCCAATCCAAGGTTATTATTTGTTTATCCGGATGTAAATAAGGCAAAAAAATAGTTATAAGTTTATAATTTAAAGTTTTAAAGCTAGGTGTCCTGTAGTTTAAATATAGCTAACTAGTAGATAAGGCCTGGAGGCAGTAACCTTTTATTAGCTAATATACACGTAATAGTGGTTATTTACTCTTTATTTCCAGGCTATAGGCGTTGCTTCATCCCTAAATAAAAATAGGTCTTTTTAAAGAAGATCCTCTTGCATTTTGTAAGCATTTTAATAAGAAATTTTTTTTTATTTATATTATAGGTATTCTTAGCTAGCACCTTATATTTATTCATTTTCCGCTTTAAGCAGTTAAAATATAAAAAGTATTTATAGGCTAAATTAGCCTTTTTTCTTAAAAAATTAATCCTAGTTATATAGGCACTTATAAGCTTATTATTATATTTTTTAAGCTAGCGCGAAACCTAGTTGCTTCCTGCCTTTTTTTAAGTAATTTTAAATACAAAGTTTTTAACTATATTATAGGTGTAGAATAAGCCATGGCTAGCCTGTTAATTAATATAATTTATAAAATCTTTTAATTATTAAGTGTTAAGTAATAATAGGTTTTTGTACTGCTTTTTTTTTAAGCCTTAAATACCTTTATAATATTTAAATAAAGTACTGCGGTCTACACTAAATTCCTTGGTAATATTTATATATAAAAAATATTTTCCTGGCTTTAAGAAGTTAATATATTTTATTACTTTTTTTATTAAAGTTAAAATAAATAAGATATAGGTGGTTAAATTCTACAAGCAAATGTTGGTGTAGATGTTGTTTTGGGCGGCAGGTGGGTTTGGGCGGCAGATGAGTAAGCACGGTAGGGTTGTTGATGGCTGCGGGAATATTACAATCAAGGCTGTTGGGACGCCATCATTTTATAGTCAAGCGCCTGTTGCAGGTAGACTTCCAGAAGCAGGGAATGCTGCCTGGCAGTTAAGACACCAATGATCTGCCAGCAAATTATGCTCTTGGCTTGTTGCAAGGGACCTGTTCCTATAGACATCCAGGCGAGCCAATGAAGTCGCTCAATTCTGCCACTGCCCTGAGCACGGCGCTATTCCTGTTTGAAACCAGAAGCAAGGGCGGTGTGCCTGGTCTGGACACCCCTTGAGTGAGACTCAAACAGCTTCACACCCCAATCCCAAGCATGGAGCGCTCCAAACAAGAATATCGCGAGAGGATCTTGGCCCAAATCACCGAGGTCATATCCGAGGCTCTGCACGAACTGGATTCCCACCGAGCAGTCCGCATACTGGGCGATACGCCCAACAGCATCCTCGACGCCGAAGATTACCTGGCGTCCATCCACCCCTTCGTGTCCACGGTGCAGCAATGCCTTCAACAAAACAATGCCGACAACAAGTCCCGCTTCCTCGCCGCGAGTATCTACCCCGGAAAACATTCATATTTCATCGTGGATCTGAACAATGCCAACTACAACTATGAAACTGCCCATGAATGCAAAACGCCGATTCCAGTCTACGTTCTTCGGCTCTCCAAAAGGGCGCCGACGATCCGCAGGGCTCCAACCCTTGATGTGCACCTTGCTGTTGTGCTCGCGAAAATGCATAATTCGCATGGTCGGGACCCTCTTCCGCTCTTTGAGGATCATAACGATCCGAATCTTGCATTCAGCAACCCCCGCAGCCTGCGGAGATAAGACCTTTCCTCCGCCCAGCTGCCTCTGAGACTTGGTTGATTTATATTGGTCAGTGACAGAGCATCCCCGGCCTGAGCTGATGGTGGCCGACAACATGCCAACAACGCAGCTACGTCAGCAGCCCAGCCTAGGCCCAGAGCCCCAGAGACACTACTAAGTCCATGAGCCAATAAAGACCCATGTAATGAGAGCAAGCGTGACAATCAATACGAAAGGTTGGAGCCCTTTTGGCTCTGCTTAGAGCTTCCACCCCCGTAGTGGTGCGCTTTGACCCCTACCTCTTATCATCCATATAAATGCTCCGCGATCCTCGCGAGCACCGAGTCATCGGTCGCAAACTCCTCCATTCACAAGAAAATATCTCTATTCTGACAAGGCTAGAAAGTATGAAACTACGCGTCCCTTCACTCACCAGAGCATACTAATCATCCCAGATGTGCACCTGGAAGCAAGTACTGTATCAGGGCTGCTCCTCGTGTATGGAAGACCCAGAAAAGATTATCCCCTGCGACGAAGGAGGCGGAAACTGCGAGATCACCACGCGAACGCCCGCGCAGGTAACGAGGATTGAAACCGTGCCATCAAAGTGTCCTATCCATATCCACCGGATGACGCCTTCCAGCAGCGAAGATTCTTTCACCTAAGGGAAATTGGTGATTTCTCTCTTGACTGGTGACTCAAGATGTGTCTTGTCGGTTCTACATTCTAAGCGTTATATGTGCGGCATTCCGCCACAGTTTTGGTGCAACGCAGAGACGTGCTGACTATGTATTCGGGCGATTATTGAAAATACCAAACCATTATTCCACTCATGTCCCGTTCGATTACATAGTCCGAGGCCAGGTTGCCTGGTTATTCAATCCAATAACTCCGGGCTCAGAGCGCCGTAAGCTCTGGCAAATTGAATATACCGCTTACTTGGTCAATGTACACAAGTTCCGACGCGTCTGAAGGAGACCGCGAAGACGGGCGTCTAATAACGTATCAATCCATCCACCCGGGTTCGTAGCAACGCTTGCTTAGAAATTGCTATATAATAATGCTTTTAAGAGGAACTGGTTGTGCTTTCCCTAGCATAGGCATCGTATGATATACCCGCTGAGGCGACTTACTCACCCGCACGCCCTGCATACACTAGCATCAACATCAGACAGTCCAGTCGGCGAAAGCAACTGATAATTGGATAGACGAGACCATAAGCTTAACCATCCCATCCCCCTCCCCATTAGTCTTAAACTTCCACTTCCCATGCCCTGCCCGCCAGTCCGTTTCTCACGAAGAAGGTCAAGTCCATCGCCATCGATTCCAGTATAACAAGAAGTGGTGAAGGATACGAAGGTAACAAAGGGGTCGAGGGTTAGAGGGTGGCTGCGCCACTGCATGGACTGCAGCAGCGCGGTGAGGTGACGACGTGGATCTTGGTGAAGATTAGGTTAATTGAGAAGATGGGGTGGTTATGCTTCTTGCTGGATTGTGTGTTAGTCAAGGCGTACGGCATTCCGAAGAGTATGCAGGCCCATGAGAAAGGAAGCCGACGAGGTGCGAGACAAAGTGAATGCCCCCGTTCACCGCTGGAGGCTCGCGAGGATCTACGCCACGGCTCCGACTGAATGCGTACGGTATCCTACGCCGGCAAAGACACCGACAAGAGCAAGTTATACAGATTGAACATGATGAAGATTAGCAATAGTAGGGAACCGAGGAGTCAGGTGTATTCTTCCTAGTACCAAGGGGGATCATATATCTCCGCATACCGTAAAGACGGTCAAGCCAGACATGCCACATCACATCATCAAACATTCCCGTCACCAGCTTTCCCAGTAGCAGAGGTAGCGCCAGGATTCGCAACCTGGGGCTCAACCTCGTCATCGTCCTCGTCGTCCTCATCTTTCCTCCGGCGCACACCCTTGATCTTCCTTCCGAGCTTTCGCATCCCCCGGCTCGCCGGGCGATATACAAGCACAACCGGCTTTCCCACGAACGTTGCAATAGCGTGGAACCAAGGATCAGGGAAGATCCTGACGACAATCGCCCAGGGAAGCGAGATCGCCGCAACGAGAATACAGATAGCCCACTGCTCATCGTGGATGCGAACGATGCTGAACGCGGCGCCGCCGTAGAAGGCAATGACGATCTGGCAACCGACCATGATGCAGTTGATACCAATGAAGAACCAGTTCCGGTGTAGTCCGGTGAAGATGTTGAACTTATTGTCGAGACGTCGGTTGTTGAATTCGTTGAAGATCTGCATCCACACGAACGTATTGAACACGATAGAGCGTCGGATATCGTCTGGATAGTCGAGGAAGTTTTCGCGAGGCCCAAAGTGAAGGATTAAGGTAACGATAAGCTGGAAGATGGACTGCCCGATTATCATCTTCCACATTGTAGTTGAGATGAGCGGGGCGCCGCCTTTGATGGGCTTGCGATCGAGAATCTCCTCCGTTGGTGGGTCTGTAGCCAGCGCGAGGGCAGCAAGAGAGTCCCTACTGGGGTTAGTATCTGTTATACACGAATTCTAGGGAACTTACATGATAAGATTGATCCAAAGAAGCTGCACCGCGGTTAGCACGGACCGCATCTCGGAGTCCGCAACCGACGAGATGAATGTCAGAAGCACGGCGGTGATATTGACAGTGATCTGAAACTGGAGGAACTTGCGAACGGCATCGTTCACAGCGCGTCCCCACATGAGCGCCGTCAGAATACTGGAGAAATTGTCGTCCATCAGCACAATCGCAGATGCTTCCTTGGCCACTTCTGTGCCTGCAATACCCATGGAAAAGCCAATGTTGGCAGCCTTCAGCGCAGGGCCGTCATTCGTCCCGTCTCCTGTCACAGCCACGATCTCGCCCATCGCCCTCAGCCTGGTGACTAAAATGCGCTTATCCTCTGGTGAAGAACGAGCGAGCACCTGTAGGCGTGGAAGGACTTCGTCAAACTCGGCGTCGGAGAGGGTGCGGAACTTAGGGCCCTCCATGACGATTCCTCCAGTGTATATACCGCAGTCGGTCGCGATGGCCTTTGCTGTAACCATATTATCACCGGTCACCATCCGCACCGTAACTCCGGCATGGTGGCATTTGGCCACGGCTTCGGGAACGCCGGGTCGTATAGGATCTTGAATACCGACAACGCCTAGAAAGAACATATCCGCCAAGAGGAGACCGAGGTCAGCTTCCGTCGGATCGTCGGGGTCAACGGCATGCTTCGGCGGCCACTCTGCAAAGTCCCGCGAAACCAAGGCAATTGTGCGGAGTGACTGCTTTGCATAGTCGAGGATCACTTGCTCAAGCCGTTCCCGTTCGCTCGACAACATATCCACCGGTCCACTAGGCATCCATGCAGACGAACTGTATCCAAGCAGGATCTCCGAGGCACCTTTGACGAGAAACCTGTACTTGCCATCTGGCAGCTTGATGACAGCACCCATGCACTTTCGGCCAGAGTCAAAGGGCATCAACTGCACGACCGTCGCATTGGCGCGTTCCTCAGCGAGTGGGCCCATTCCTAGGACATCCCGAGCAAACCCTAACAAGGCAGTTTCAGTCTTGGAGCCGATGAACCCAGGGACACCGTTCTCCTCGCCTTCAAATGCAGTCGAGTTGATCGCTACAGATTCAATGATCATGCGTTTCTGCTCTGTGCTGAGCGAACTCGCAAACGCAGCTGACCGTCGTTCTTTTCCGGTCTGGTTCTTGTCGTCGAAATCGTCATCTCCGAATGTGCCAGTCACTACTGTCATTTTGTTCGTTGTCAAAGTGCCGGTCTTGTCAGAGCATACCGTAGTTGCATTTCCCATTGTCTCGCAGGATTTTAAGACACGGACAAGGTTGTTGAGCTTAACCATCCGAGTAGTCGCAAATGCCAGGGCCAATGTAACCGCCAGCGGCAAGCCTTCAGGAACCGCAACAACGATGACTGTGATTGCGACAATCAGGATATCCGTAACTTGAGAAGCCTTCTCCGTACCAGTGCGATCGTTCCCAGAGAGACCTCCGAGGAAGCGAAAAAGAAGAATCAAAAAAAGGAAAATTGCGGAACTGGCGCCCAGCTTAGCAATAGCACTAGCCAAGCGATCCAGCTTCTTCTGCAGAGGAGTGGGCTCCATATCCTGACGCATAGCCATGAGAATCTTGCCGTAACTGCTGTTGACGCCAACCGATGTGACAAGACATGTTCCGAAGCCTTCCAGGACTTTGCTGCCGGAGATGATGAACGGGTCCATGTCCTGCTGCTTGGTATGACCTTGTTCGAGAAGTCGGAGCACTTGTTCCCCGCCGGTCTTCTTAAGCTGATCCGATTCTCCAGTTGCAGATGACTCGTCGCATTTGACATTGTGCCCTTCAATGTAGACTCCGTCCACCGGGACCAGGTCTCCAGGCTCCAGGTGCAGGACGTCGCCGACCAAGACATCGTGAACTGATATTCTGACCGTTTTGCCTGACCGGATGACAGTAACCTCCCGGTCTTCCTTCTTCTTGTTGAGTTTGACGAAGGCCCGCTCCTTCTGGTAGTCGTTGAGCGACCCGACCATGACCACAATGACGATAGCAACGCAGATTGCACATCCCTCCACCCAGTCCAACGGCATCCCAGAGCCAGGCTCATGCTCCACCCCAAACGTTTCGTATAGTCCAAGCGCCAGTGATATCGCGGCCGCGGCGGTAAGTAAAATCAAGACCTTGTCGTTGTAGGCCAGCCACATCAACTTCCACAGCGGTGTCGCCTTCTTCTCGGGAAGCACATTCTCCTTGAAGACGCGGATGCGGTCCGCAAATACCTCTTTCCCAGGCTCCGTATGCTTCTCGCCACCCAATGCCTCGGTGTTCAACCCAGCACTCAAGTCCGTGCGGAGTCCATTCGCCAACCCGGCAAGTCCACCCAAGGCAACGAACGCTGGAAGAGACTTCGGATTGAGGAGCTTGTTGAGTTGGCCAGGTGAGTATGCGAATGGGTTGTTGTCCACATGGAAATCTGCCTCGGTCCCTGGATCCGGTCGCAGAGCCTCCTCCTGCTCGTCGGACGAGAACACACTCGGTGCGGTACTCGAGGATAGTTTCTCCTTCCCTTTGGGTACTTCGAGGCCTACGCTGCTAGTGGCCATGGTGCTTCCGCTCATCGCTCGATCTCGTCCAGTAAACTCGCTGCCGACGGCGGTCAAATTGCTATGCGAGCGCTCGCGTGTGCCACCGAGGCCATCATTCGGAACATCCGATTCTGATTCTGCAGGTGTTTCCTATACATCGTCAGCGGTTGAAAATGGCAGCGCCGGAAAACGTACAACAACGCGATCGAAAGTAATCGCCGGAACAGACCCTGGGGACGCCATCTTGTCTAGTTAAAGCAGTCCAAACAAACCAATACTTCCATTGGAGACACAGCATTCAGCACGCTAGGACGTCCAGGGCCTTGATGACTTTTAGTACGGTGCTCTGATTGCTGGGCTTCTTGCACAGCCTCCCTCGCCGCGGCAGCGACCCGTGGGTTAGGGCGAGGATTGGCCGGCCAAGCAACCCCCAAGACCAAGGGCGGAGCCCACTCCGCAGCTGCAGCAGGGTCTCGACTCGAGTTTTCATCACAATCGTGCTATGCTCAGCATTAAAGACGCTGTCCGGTCCTAATGCATGAAAGGGATTGCGCGGGATCGCCTTCCGCCAGGGACTTGGGGTAGCGCGTTATCGCGGTGCCGTGAGGGGCTTGACTTGGAGATGACTCCATACGATATGGTCTTTACCGGAGGCGGATGCGTGGCCGGGATCAACCTTGCTAAAAGCAAAGCGTCCGAGTCAGGGTCCAAGAGTGTTGTAAGCCAAGCTGCTTGACTCTGAGATTTGCGGCCTCGTCATTTCTGGGCTCTCCTCGCACTTCGTGATTGCGTGTCGCTTATCCATGGTACTAAGATCCTGGGCAGGTAAATGCTGTGCTGGCCAAGCAATCTGCTTGACCGATCTACCGTTCTGCAAGACTGCAACCAAGGCACCATACCACCGCTACCGCGTCCCGGCTTCCATAGTGAAGTATGTTAACCCATCGGAGTCGGTCTGGGCAGCGGTTCCCTGATTCCGAGACTAAATCCGGATGTGTTGCACAGCGTCTGTGACAAGGGATGGGCTGGGCCAAGGGTGTTGTCAGTTGTCACTGGGAGATCTGGGACCAAGGACCAAGAACGGGGTTGGTAGGATACGAATCAGGCCGTAAGTGAGAGACGTCGGGAGTAGATAGGAGATTCTCTAATCTCTATCATGCTTGGGCGATGTTTCAAAGTAAAGTGTCCCGAAGGTATGACAGGCGCGGCGTGGTCGTCCCACCGTTTCCTTCGACTACCCTGTCAACCATTTCGTATGTCCACTTTCTGGCCGGGGTAAGAAAGCCGCCGATCGTCGATAGGCTATTCTGAAATATTGATCAATTCGCTGCGAGACTTGTCAGACAGACTTTCCTTCGTACTCCGAATCGCTCTACTCAAGCTGTCCTTACTCAGATCGTTGGAGAACCATGGCGACCTCGACATCACCAATCCCCTGCACACCATTATCCCTCTCTTCTCTACTAGACAACGGACCCCATCCGCATTCATCCAAAGCGCTTTACAACCACCGCATGATTCAGAATCCCGGCAGATCCTTGACTGCTATGGGAATGGCGAAAACTCACGCGAGGGGGACGGTTGGGGTGACGGCGTTGGCAGCGTGGCAGTGCAGCGGGGTATCAAAACCAATTCACCAGTTGAGTGCACGAAGCCAACCATCGAAAAACAAAATCCGTTTCTCCCCCAGTCAGAGCTCTGCGACTCAGCGAACGAGGCGTGTTTGCCTCCTTTGTTTTCGCCTCTCGTAACCCTCGCCTCATCTGCTGATGCCAGCACGCCCCCCGACCTCGGCCAGCAGCCTTGCTCGCCAACCTTTGAAGAAAATCGGTTGCTGTTGCGATATGAGGGGAGTTGAGGATTTTTCGTCATGAATGTGCCTCGGATATCAGCGGAGCCAGGGCAGACTCCGTCTCGACCATCGGGTGAGACGGGCTCTGGCCGGGGTAAGACGACAACTACGGCCTGCGAGAGGTGTCGAAGGAGGAAGATTCGTTGCGACGGAGAGACGCCGTGTGCCACCTGTCGGCGCTTTCGAATTAGTTGTGTGCGGATACAGAAGAACGACACCCACGCGTTGGAGCAGCGCGTCCGCCAGCTCGAGGCGCAAATCGCTGAATTCACAGCCGGCGTATCGAGCGCTCCGAACGAAGATGCGAATCCATTGTCAGCCCAACAGTGGCCGCCAGATATTCGAATAGCCACCGATTTCGGCTCTCCGGGACCGGCAATAACCACGGATGAGTTTGGTCAGTTTCCGCCAGCGAGCTTGTCCCAACTAGACATTCCAAGCATTCAAGTTGTCGATTATGCGGATGCGTTCTCTCCAGTCTCGCCTGTTTCGCCGGTGTCGCTGTCGCCTTCGCCCTTATTTCACCCGCTGGCTCCTGCGCCTTCGCTGGAGAATCTAGACAGTCTTCGCCCTCCAAATACTGCTGCAGTTTCTCCTCCTGTGGGTGCATGTCCATCGCCGAACCATACCGTCATGCCGTACCTGTCTCCGAGGAGTCTGCCCGGGCCGTCCAGATCGCGGAGCTCGTCCATCTCATCGCTGGGCCTCGACTCGGATTGGGCGTCAGCACCAGGCGATCTCCCCGCGTTTAACTTCGAGAGCGACTTTCACCAGGCTGTTTTCGACATGTCTCCGACATCTCCAACTGCAGAGGCTCCACGGACGCCAGGAAGGTTTGAGGCTGAAATGCTGCTGGATAAATTCTTCGACCGCGTTCACAGATCGAAACAGCCGCTCGCACCGTATCCTCTCAATCGTAGCAAGCTGTTTGAGTTCCTCGACATCGTTGATTCCCCGCAACTCGCTCTCCACGGCCCTTGTTCCGTGTCGATGGCTCGCTTCCACGTGTATATGGCGATGGCGGTCGGGTTGAGGGTGGAGGCAGATGGGAGAAGCACCACAATGCAAATGCTGCAGAGTTGCTACCGACTGGCGATGGATGAGACGCGGTCGCCCTCGTTCTGGAAACAGAGGTTCTCGCTAGAGGCCGCGATCCTGGTGATGTTATTTTCACAGGTCAGCCAGAGTTTGGCTGGGATGTAGAAGCGAGTCATTAGACCACGACGATATGAACAATCATAATACCAAGGTCCAATTAGACCGGGAGAATAGTCCCAATAATACGATTGAGGTTGGATTTAGCATCGACGAGTGTCTTCGAGAGTGTTGTAGGCAGCTCAAATCCAGCGGGGTACCACGCTCGGAGAGGTTCACCGAACCTTTAAGCAAGGCTTAGAAATAGATTAATAAGCTATCTTGGCAAGGCTTAGAATTTTTACTTTAAATTTTTAAACCTTGGTATTACTTAATATTATAAAGTATTAAATTTTTAAGCCTTGGTCCTAATACTAATACCTTATTTATATTTAAATTTTATATATATCCTTTATTTAACTTATTTTAAAATAACTAACTTTAAATACTAAAATTAAATTACCTGTATTCTTAATAATATACCTATTATTAAAATAATATAATAATACTTAATATATTTAATATATATGCTAAAACTATATATAAAACTAAAAAATATATAAAAAAATAATACCCCTTAAGCTAAATTTTAATATATTTAATATTAAAAACCCTTTTTTTAAGCCCGAGCCTAAGCCTAAACCAAAAACTAATATTATTAAGCTAGACTTTAGCAAGATTCCGCTTTTTATAGGCTTATTATATAAGAAAGTTTAGGAGTTTAGCCTTATAATATTTAATAATAATAAATTTAAAATTATTATTAATAAGGTTTAGGAGTATTTATTAATATTTTTATACCTTATTATAAAGGATTTAAAAAGCCTTGCAAATCTAGGAATTTTTTATTTTATTTATTATTTAAACTTAATTATTAAGGCCTTAACCATAAGTTATTTTAATAATATAACTATATAAGTAATATTATAAATATATATAGTCCTAATATAATACACATACCTAATATATACTTTATAAATATAATTTTATAAGTTAAGTTTAGGCCAAGTAAAGCTTTAAAATATGCTACTACTAACTTAATTTAATAATAAATAAAAATATAACAAGGTTTAGTATTATATATATATATATACTAGGCTAAAGTATTACCCATAAATTAATTAAGCTTTTTTTAGTTTTTTTAGCTTTAAAGGCACTGGCATCCCATGTTTTAATTATAATTAGGTTAATTTTTGCTTTTTTTAATACCTTTGGGCATGCTAAAAAACCTAATATTAAAACCTTAAGCCTATAAATATTTAAAAAAAAAAAACCAAGCAGTTTTACCTTGGGTTTTTTTATAACTAGTAAATAAAAAGTAAAAAAAGGGAAAATAATTAAAATATGCCATGTACTTATAAGGGGCATTTTATATATAAACTTAAAGTTTTATTATTATTTAAGCGCAATAGGGTATATATCTTTTATTATTTTTATATTTATTTTATATATACTAACTATTAGTATAGGCTAAGTTTATTAAATACTTAAAAAACTTTAATTTTAAGACCTGGCATATAGCCTAACTACTTAAAAATCTTATATATATTATTAATAAGCTATACCTATAATATCTTTTTAAGATAAAATATAAAGCTATAATACCTTTAGGTAAATATATTTTTATTACTATAAATATTATATAGGTTACCTATTATGGTAAGTTATTTTTACCCTTTTATTATTATTTACTAATTTTTTATAAATTAAGCTTATGCAAAGCATGGCTTTACTAAGCTTATATATATAAAGTATAATACCTGGTTTAATTTATTTATACTAAAAATATATAAATAATATTTATATATACTACTAGTAACCCGTGGTTATTATATATATTTACCTTTACCCCTGCATTTTATACCCCAGAATATTACTAATTAATATATTAAAGTACTTTAAAAGTATAATATTCTTATTTTTACTATAAGTATATACTTATGTTGTTTATGCTATACATATGCCAGGCATTTACTTATAATATAATTACTTAAAGTAGTTTTTAGTTTTACCTAATTAAATTAATATTCAAAAATAATTTAGGTTTTTTATTTTTTATACCTTATATAAAAGCTTAAATATTAAAAACAAGCTTACAAGCTTAATTTAAAAAAAGTGCCTTTTATAATATAAAAAAAGCATAAATATTACTAGTGTTTTTTATAAATTTAAATTTAATAAAAAGCGGCCACATGGGTAATAAATTTAAAAGGTTTTTTTTTTTAAAAAAAATTATAAGTATTATATTATTTTATGCTATATAAATGCATAGGCAAATACTTTTTAATAAGCATAGTTTATCCAGGTGGATCTTTTCTTTAAAATAATTTAAGGTAAAACTAATATTTTTAGTATTATAAAATAAAATAAAAAATATTAATATAAGTTATTTTAGTGCTTTACTTATGCTAGGTATATATTAACTTTATAAGTATTTAAATATATATATATGCCTTTATTAACCTTAAAACTTAAAAGGCATATTATACCATGTTTTACAAGATTTTTAAAATACTTGCCTAGGTTAGTTAATAGGATATATACTTTACCTATATTTATAAAACTAAGCATAGAATTTATATAATTACTACTAATATATATATAAAATAGGGTCCAGGGCTTAGTAATTACTTATTTAAAATTAATTTATTAATAAGCTAGGACAAGCACCTTTTATATTTATTAGTTTTTTATTAGGTTTATATAAAATAAAACTTTTGTAAGAAGTTTGGAGATTATCCTGCCAAGTAAATTATTTATAAGTTATAAAATTTTTTTTAGGGAGGAATTACTTAATAAGGTAAAAAATATTAAGAACCTTTAGCCTAATAATAAGCTAAAATAATAGCTAAATTATAAAATTTATAAGCCCTAAATTTTTGGTGTATTATATCCTAGCTAGTTTAAAATAAATTATAAATAATAGCAGCTTGTGAGCAAGCATATAAATATTAATAAAAGTTTTTATTTCGCGGATAATAATACCACTAGTTAAAAGCTTTTTTTACTTAATAAAATTTTATAATTTATACCCTTTTTATATATGCTTAGCACAAGGCTAATATATACCTAGTTTTTAAAAGGTAACTAAGAAGCTCTTTGCCTGGCTTAAATATTAAAAGTAAATAGGTGTGGGCTTTTAGCAGCGGTTAAAAAACCTAGTACCTTAATAAGCTAAGAATATAAGGTAGTAAATAGCTTAAAATTAAAAATTAGCTATAAACTAGTAAAAAAATCTAAAGATTTTATATAACCCTTATAATTTTTTTAACTTAGTTTATACCATGCCGCCCCTAGCTAATAACTTTAATAAAATAGTATTTATAGCAAGTATTAATACTTTTGCTTTATATATACGTGGTATAAGGTCTATATTTATTATATTTAATATTTTTTTATTTATAGCTAGAGGCACACCTAGCCCTAGCTAGCTATTATTTTTACTAAATATTAAATAGCATGCATGTTAAAAATTTATAGGTACTATATTTAGTAAGGCCTTGGAAGCTTAATAGCGTGCTAAAAGGTTATAGTAAGATAATAATAAAAAGGCAGCAAAGCTAGTGTTTTTACTTAAATAAAAAAAATAAAGGGATTTAAATAAGGCACTAGTAGAGGCAAGATTAGAAATAAATAATTAATTTTTTTAAAATACCTTTTTTAATATAAAATTAAATTATAAAAATTAGAAAATATAAAGTTATATAAACTAATTTATTATAAAAAATTAATTATTAATATTTTATAATTAAATTTATATTTTTTAAAATAAAATATTTAAAATTATAATTAAAGTTTTTATTTATTTTTATTTTATATATTAATAAATTATTATATTTTAATATTATWTTTATAATAAAAAGCTAATTTATAAAATATTATTTATTTAAATTTAATTAAATTATAATTTAAGTTTATAAAATACTTAAAAATTAATTTTTTAAATAAAAATTAATATTTATTTATTAATAAAATAAAAATTAAGATACTAAAAGGCACTTAAGATAAAATAAAACTTTAACTTTAAAAAAGTAAAAAAATTATAAAGTATTATTACTAAAATTAAATATAAAAGTTAATTTATTTAAATACTCTTATTTTTAGTAAAAAAAATAAAAGTAAAATTAAAAATTTTTGGTATTATTTTCCATGTTAATAATTTTAGTAATTATAAGCTAAATAATAAAAAGTAAGGTATAATAAAAAGTTATTTTTATAATAATAAAAATTAGCCTTTTATTAATTTTTTTTATTTTTAAAAAAAATTAATAAGCCTTTTTAATATTTTTAAAAGCCTTAAATAATTATATTATTATAAAATAAATTTAAAAAATATATTTTTAATTTTATTAAAACTTATTATTTACTAGGAATAACTTAAGCCTTTTATTATTAATTATTAAGTAAAAAAAGTAATAATAAATAATTAAAA